AATACTATGAAAATACTTAATGAAACATTATAATCCAAGTAAAAAATACTTATTAGAAATATATATTTTTATTTATCATAAATATTACATAAAATATTTAGTCTTTATTTTAATAATATTTCGAATAAAGCTTTATATAAAAATGTATGAAATATATATATAACTTTTCTAAAAAATAAATATTAATAAATATTTATCATTAGTACTCCTAAATATTCTGTGCTGTCTGGGTATATAGTTAGAGGTTATACGCATGAATAATACATTATTGCTCTGAATGAGAAACGTTTTGCAAGTGAGAAATAATTTTTTTTTATTGTACATATTAAGATATTCGTGCTGTTTTAGCATCATGGCTGCAGCATTCCTCGCATGGGAGCTGTTACTGCTTGAGCAGAGAGTCTGGCAAATAGAAAGAAGATTAGAGCGCCGATTACTTCGTGATCATGCAAATCCTTTGGCATTACCTCAAAACGAATTTATGGATATTTTTCGGTTCAGTCCTGACCTAGCACTCTACCTTATTAACGAATTACGTCATGATTTGCAACCCCAAAGAATTAGCGATCTTGCTCCAGAACTACAGGTTTTAACTGTTCTTCAATTCTATGGTCAAGGCTGCTATCAGAGATCAGTAGGAAATCAATTCCAACATAATATGAGTCAAACCTCAGTCAGTCGATGCATCCGCGCAGTTACAAATGCCATCAATCAACGACTCTTGCGTCGTTGGATTAAATTTCCTATGACTCAGGAAGAGAGAGCTACAGCTCGCAATAAATTCCGAAATGCTCCTCAGCCATTCCCAGGGGCGATTAGCGCAATAGACTGTACATTTATAAATATACTAGGCCCTGTAGAACATGAAGAGGCTTATGTTAACCATCACGGTAATCATTCTCTTAATGTTCAAGCAATCGTTGATCCTGATCTCCTCATACTGAATATTAATGCAAGATTCCCAGGTGCTAGAAATGATTCTTATATTTGGAACAATTCACCTATTCGAAGGGCAATGGAATATTGTTATAATCGAGGTGAGCGCCAAACTTGGCTTATAGGAGACGCCGGATATCCATTGGAACCATGGTTAATGACTCCATTAGCTGATTATTCAATAGATACGAGATAGTTTGAATATACAATGCAGCTCTGTTCATCTCGTAACTGTGTCAAATGTTTCAATGGAGTTTTCAAGTCTTTATGGAGATGTTGTTCCTATCAAAGAGTTTTGATGTATGAACCAGAACTTGCTGGTAGAATTATCAACGCATGTGCTATTTTCCAACATGCGAATTCATGCGCGTCTTCCTGTGGATCAATTTCTAAATGATCAAGACGCAGGTCTTCCTGAAGACCCTGTATACATACATCACGAGGAGGACAACGAACCGGTGAGGAACCTAGCGCTGGCACAAAGAATACAGAAGCAAATTATGGCAGATAGATTCCCCGATTTACCTGATGGCGATGACCTCTAACTTCTGTTATTATTAATAATTGGAATACAAATTAAATGACTTGTGACATATTTTGTGAGAAAATAGAATTTTTTATTTTCTATTTTTAAATTATAAAAAAAGAAATATTACATTTGTTGACTTTCAAACATTTTTTCACATTTGTTGATTTTTTACATATATGCTGTATATGTATAAATAAAAATAAAGCGTTTTACATTCCATATTGCATCTTCTTCATCTCTGTTTAACTTTGTTTCTGTTTAACAATTAAATCTAAAGTATTTACAAGACGAAGTAAAACTCATTCCTTGCTTTGTCATTTTCTGCCATAGTGCGGAGAATATCAGTTTGTATACGATTATTTTCTGCTTGTATTAAGGCTGTCTCTGCCCGTAACTTTTCGGCCTGCGCTAGCACCTGTAGCAAATACCATATTACGATATTTGTTTCTTATTAATAATTTTACATTTTTCTAAATAAATTACTTTTTACCTCTGTCGCCTCGCATGTCCGCTCAGCGAGACTTGTAAATTCTGTTCGAGCTTCGTTAAGTTGAACTCCTAATCGTTCACGATGAACTCCTATCAAAAAGATATATATGTATGCAGTATTCAGGAAAAATATATATTTTCATTACTGACAAAACTGTGATAGCGTCGCAGAACTAACCTTTCCTTAAAAAATTTGCCTTTGAAGTAACTGGCATGCGTGATCGTTTCATTGAAGCAGAAGTATGTGGAGTTTTATTTTTAGGAACAACTTCAGTAGTTTGTTTCTCCAGTGCTAAATCGGCTGACTGATTGAAGTTGATATCTCAGGAATGGCAGGATTCAAGATTTGATCTGAGATTATCACCATATCCTCTTGAGTATTAGCATCCATAGTCATTGTAACTGATTGTGAGTCGATAGGCAGTAATTCATCATTGATATCTACATAAATTGAAAATTTGTTTATGTAAGCATTTAGATTTATATCTGCTTAGTTTCTTCTGCTGGCACAGTCACTGGTTGCACAGTTATCACCTGTGGGATAACTTCATCAACGTTAACATCTAATCCTTGCTCCAATTGCTCAAATACGTTTTCCTATTGAAAAAAAGACTTACACATACATCGTCAAAAATCAATCTCTTGAAACTGTGAGCAGCCAACTTACAAACTCTTCTGGAAAAGAATCCGGAACAGTCGCCAAGCCTTCAAAAATTCATGTCCAATTAAGTCAATAATTTTTTTGTCTCTTTCAGTAAGAACAATATCATTTGGCTTATTGCCAGTGGCAGCTCTATTTTTTTTAAACTTGTTACTTTATTTGATACTTTTGTTTTAGTATCACGCCACGTCTAGAAAAAAATAATAAATGTTGCCACAATTAAGTATCAGAAAAAAATAATATTAGAACTGTGGCGACATATAAACCTACAGTTTTCCATGAGTCAACACTTTTCTTCTTTCCATTTTTAAACATAGCATTTAATGTATTCGTGAGTTCCTCCCAGCTTCCTTGAAGCTCTTTTTTCCCTAGCATTCCTTTTAATTTCTTGTTTGCCACATGTGGATGCAAACAAAAATAATTTATCATAACATCTATATTTGCGCCTCTGAAGCACGGCTCTGTCGTGTCGCTGCTGTTTCTTTCCTTTGACATTCATAATCAAGGCATTATATTTTAAAATGTAATTCATAATATATATTTTATACATATAAAAACATGTTTTATACACAAATATTTATAATCTCAATCGAATTTCAATAACATAACATATCACATTTTCAACAATATTATGTAACAAACCACATACATACAATATACACAATATATCATAATATTATATATAGATAGCTACGTGTTACATGTGATTTACCTCGTCGGTGTCATTGCGCGTGATATGCAATCTCTCTGTATATTCTTTAGAAAAGTATTCCTTTTACTTTCTCATACAAACTTCTTGCCTACTCAGAAATTCGGATAGCCGCTTGTTAACCAGTCATCGACTATGTTTGGTTAATGTATACAACTCAACGTTGCTAAGAAGAATTCACATGAACGCTTCTGATTGGCTTTTTCACGTACCCTCGTAATATATATTATATAACGTCATATCCGTCGTTTCATATCGATGTTTCGTTAGATCATTCTGTATCGATTTCTCTCGATATGATTCCTTTACAGAATCATTGTCTCGTTATTATACTGTCTCGTTACATAGCGACTTTTTCGATACGTAACATGATATCGACATATTTCGCTACAAATTACCGAGTTACAGAATCCAGCTACTGTAGGCCTATTCTGTAACTTTCTAAAGGCTTGTGTCCACGGTGCTAGAAATCGGTCTGAGTTCTTGGACATAGTTCTCGTACAAAGTTCTGTTATCTCGGACGATTCTATTAACATAATTTTCTAACCTTCAAAAACATCTACTTTATAACAGAAGCGTTGTAAATTATTTATTCACATAAAAGCATTTGTGCAGCGTAATATTTCTTCATTTACAGAAAACAATCAGGTATAATAAAATATAAATTTCAAATATGACTGTTTTAGTGGATCATACTACATAATAATCATCGCCCGATACGGTCAAAGCTGAATCTTGGTGCCTAATAATATTTATATGTAAATTTACATTTATCAGTTCATGCTAAGGTAGTTCATGATTGCGTTTATATCCGAAAGTAACTGCACGCAGTTTAAAAATGAATTGATAAATGTAAATTTACATATAAATATTATTAGCCACCGAGATCTAGCTTTGACCGTATCGAGCAGTAATTAAAATATAAATATTTATTATTTCATTTTTTTAGATACGTTCGATTATAAACCTGCAAAATTATCTCTCAATGATAATAAAATTATGATGATATCCTCAAAAGTTAAAAAATGTATAGCAATCACATTGATTGCTGAAATTATAGAAAAAAAAGAGATACAAAAATGGAATGAAGAAAAAAGAAAACGACGACGTCGGTCTATTTGGACACGTAAATGGATACTTGAAAGAAATCGTTCATTGAGAGGAATAATCAATTTAGCACATATAGATTTAAGAATTGAAGATCAAGAATATTTCCAAAGATTCTTTAGAATGCGGATTGATTTATTCGATCAACTTGTAGAAATAGTAACACCTTATATACAACGTCAAGATACTAATATGAGACAATGTATATCATCTAAAGAACGGATATCACTCACTTTAAGGTTTCTAGCTACTGGTGAAAGTTACAGAAGTTTGGAATACTCAACAAGGATTCCAGCGTGTACGATTTCTCGAATAATACCTGAAACATGTCGTGTTATATATGAGCTCCTTCGAGAGAATTACTTAAAGGTAAATAGGATGTTAATAATTTTTACAGAAAAATATTACTGGCTGTGATAAATTGACCAGTAATATTTTTCGATAACGAAATAATATATTATGACAACATTAACTTGTTATACTTTGCCTATCATCTAATCAACAAGTAATTTATTTAATGTTTTTTATAGACACCAAATACAACTGTAGAATGGAAACAAATTGCAGATGATTATCAACGATTATGGAATGTTCCAAATTGTATTGGTTCCATGGATGGGCGGCATATAGAATTTAGAGCACCTTTACAGGATGGATCATTATACTATAATTACAAAGGCACTAACAGTATTGTTCTCTTAGCACTAGTAAACGCGCAATATCAATTCACATACGTGAATGTGGGAGTTAACGGTAGAGTAAGTGATGGAGGAGTTTTCCGTGATAGTGACTTTGCAAAACTGTTAAATAATGCACAAAATCCATTGAATGTGCCACAAGATAAGTCATTACCTGGCATGAACGAACCTATTCCATACGTTATATTAGCCGATGCTGCTTTCCCGTTACAAAATCATTTATTAAAACCATATCCTTCACGAAATTTATCTCATGACGAGCGGATATGTAATTATAGAATAAGCAGAGGTAGAAGAGTTGTCGAAAATGTATTTGGCATATTAGCAAATAAATTTCGAGTTCTTTTAACACAAATACATCTACCTGTTGGAACCGTCCAAAATATAACACTTGCATGTTGTGCGTTACATAACTATCTTATTAAAGAAAATGCTGCTTATTTATATACTGATATAGATAACGAAAATTTAGAACATACTACAAGGTCTGCTACATGGAGAAATAATACACAATTACGCAACTTAGAAATCACAAATATAAGACCAAATATGAATGCAATTCGTATTCGCGATGCGTTTAAAGAATACTTTAATACTGTCGGTAAGGTTGAATGGCAGGAATATATGATATAACCTTTCTAAATATAAAATTATATATTTATTTTATATTTGTAACACAATATTCTTTTGTAACATTGTAACTTTTGTAATAATTATATGGTAATAAATATTTATATATACATATATATATTATAATATTACCTCACAATTATTCTATATTTTATTTTTCAAGTATTTGTTATCGTTACATTAATAAAATAAAATAATCTCGCTTAATAAACATAAAATATATTGAACACAAAAGTAATATGCAAACACATGTAACATATAAATCTATCACTTATACAATATTTTCTTATATTTTATCTCATATTTTATTTTTGAGCAGGTACGTTTGTTACTATTACGTTACTAAAAAAAAGATAATAAAAAGATAATCTCTTTTTGAACATAAAATATATCGAAAACAAAAATAATATGCAAACATTTGCAAATATGTATATAAGCATAGAAAGGGAGCGTTCCGTTTGACCATGTCCTTGACCACAGCCACTCACAGAGACCGGTGCCTAAAGTTTTTCCACTGTACAAGCACTGTGAATGGCTTGTGGTAAATCGGGACGTGGTCAACAAAACCCTTATCACATAGAAACATAGGAACATAGGAACACTTATTAAATATTTTCATTATCTATTAATGCAATAATCTCTTTCTGTAAGTAGTTCAATGATTTTGGATCCTTAATTTTACGTAATTTACTTTCTACGTACAATATCCAGTATTTTAATTCATCTGCAGTATCGTCATTGTTTGATATAGTTTGGATAGCATTTGTTGCTGCTGTCCAAAATTCATCTTTTGATGAATTATTACTTAAAGTTTCAAATTTCCTTTTTCCACGTTTTGATGTTGCTCTTTGTGATCCGGTTGAACTAGTACTACACGATGATGGATTTGGCTGAAGATTTGGCTCAGTATTCTCTACATGAAATAAATAATAAAATCAAAATCAAAATATTGCATTAAAAAATTAAATCATTAGATAAAATATACTAAGTGATATAAAATATAATAAGAAAATACATATCAAAAAATAGCAATATATAATTTTGTCACCTTTATTAGAATCTTGTGCTTTTAAAATATTAGCAACCTCTATAAATTGAAGATCTTCGTTGTCACTTTCCTCTTCTGCAGTATTATGTTCTAAGCAGCTACTTTGTTGACTAGAAACCTATAAATTATTATAATTTCAACACTTATGTATTTACATACTTTATAATTGACAAATATTTTACTTAATCTTACTGTTATGGAAGACTCTCCTTTTCTTTGAGCAATGTGTGGATCGAGAAATTTCATATCTTCGAATAACCACCATGTGGGTTTATAAATATCATTAGTCGACATGCCACTTGATTTCGATGCTTTTATTTTGTTAACGTAATCTAAATACTGCGACCTTAAATTATTAATTTTTTTTTTAGCAGCTTCTATAGTTAAAGGCTGTTGTGTTATTTCTTGGTATTGCTGACATATTTGTCGATAAGCATTCTCTCTTTTGGTTCGATTGTGGTATTCAGCAGATTTTACAACATATAACAAAGGATGTTGTTCATATAATAACAACAGCGTTTTTATATTGTCTTTAGTATCCATATTCCTAAAAATTATCACATTTATGAATATATACTAATATATATATATATGTTAGTTAACCTTAATTTATAATTCAACGTAATGCATTTTCCATAGAACTTTTATGAACAAATGTTAATTAATAATTAATCTTTTTATTTAAATATATATTCAATATTTTTACTTTATACTTACAAAACGTTCAACACGTCCAATCGCTCGAGCAATGCCAAACAACTACCAAAAATTACTATATAGCACAGAAAAATGGGACATGATGCATTTTTGCTTTGAGACATCCAGATAAGATTTTCACTAGAATTTTCGATTATCACTAGATCGATTTAGTAATTTTTTCTAGGATAGACAGCTTGAACGCAGCTTGGACCGAGTTTCTAGCATCGTGGACACAAACCATCGAGATTTCTATACGATATTTTCATCCAAGTTGTCTGTGTCCACGATCCGAGATCTAGTAACTTTGTCTCGAATCGAGATCTCAGACCGATTTCTAGCACCGTGGACACAAGCCTAACGACAGTTTCACTAAATGGGGATATCGTTAAGCAGATTTAACGACACTATAACGAAAAATGGTATTTTGTAATTAAACGTAACGGGGAGCACAGACTCTTGGATAACGCATAACACGTAATGCATAAGAATATGTACCAATCGAAGTTCTCCGTTTCTTTCCCTTCCATGTAATAGAGAACTCTGGTTGGTTCAATTTCTTATGCCTTATATGTTATGCGTCATGCAAGAGTCTGTGCACCCCGCTTAACGATAAATGTTAAAGTTTCGATAAAATACCGAATTTTATCGTTAAGATGGTCACGTTCAGCAGACTCAACTGTTGTGGAGCAGATCCGTGAGCAATCGCTGCTATTGGTGTATTCTTCTAGATCATCCAATAGCAGCGAGCGCTCACGGATTCGCTCCACACAGTTGAGTCTGCTGAACGCGACCGATATCGAGAGGTATCAGACCTCTCGATAAGCAATAACGACAATATAACTAGACATAATAACCTATAGCAACGCTCTTGCTTGAATGGTCCGAGTGGCTGTAAGTAATACGGAGCGCCTATAATTAATGGTAATTATACAGTTTATCCGCTCACC